CAGTCAGAAATATAAACTGTACCTTTAAACAACACGAGCATTAAGCAAATAATATAAACAAATATAAATATCCAGCTCACTCTCTGATCCTCGTCTAGTTCTCTTACAGCTCTCTGATTGGTCACACCCTTAACAAAAACGGTTGTTCAAAAAAGAATTGTCCGCGTCTGCATCACGGTGCACCGAAGAAACGATTAATTTTGACACCCCTAGTATTTCCTGTGCTTTTTTATTCTATATATACATAATTTTAGTTGCCTACAGTATTTTCTGTGCTCAGTTTTTTGTATGCATGCATGTTTTCCAGATGCATATTTTCTATGCTATTTTTTTATTCAATCATTTTCTATACGTGTGTTTTTTGTATCTGCATTTCATATTTTTATATGCATATTTTCAGCACGTGCGTTTTCTTTGTTTTTTTATTTTTTGTAAATATTTTCTGTGCAAATGTCTTGTATACAGTATATCCATATTCTCTAGATGCGTATTTTCTGTGCTCATTTTTTGTATATACCTGTACGCATGTTTTCTAGATGCATTTTCTTTGAACTCAGTTTTTGCATGCATTTATTTCTAGATGCGTATTTTCTGTTTGTGTATTTTTCTGTGCTCATTTTTTGTATACATGCTTATTTTTGGATGCTTATTTACTGTGCTCATGTTTGATCTATTCCTATTTTCTACATGTGTATTTTTTGTATGTGTTTTCTGTGGTTATGTTTTATATACATTCTTATTTTTTATATTCATATTTTTCAGCACATGCATTTTCTTTGTATATTTTTTGTATATATGCATATTTTCTGTGCAAATGTTTTGTATTTATGCATATTTTATAGGTGCGTTTTATTCTGTGCCCATTTTTTCTACACCCATATGTTCTAGATGCATATTTTTCATTATCTGCATTTTCTGTTTATTTTTTGTATATAATTTTTATATATTTTCTAGATGCACATTTTCTGTGATAATTTTTTGTATATATGAATATTTTCTCTGCTCATTTTCTTTATGCACGTTTTTTCAAGTTGCATATTTTCTGTCTTTGCATTTTTTGTGTTTTCTTTCTGTAAATATTTATATTTTCCAAATGCGTATTTCTCTTATGCTCATTTTCTGTATGCACATTATCCTAGATGCGTATTTTCCATATCTGCAATTTTGTTTTAGTTTGTTTATACATGCATATTTTCTAGATGCATATTTTCTGTTTATGCATTTTTTGTGTTCGTTTTTTTTGTATGCACATTTTCTGTGCTCATTGTTTGTGCACATGCATATTTGCTAGATGCATATTTTCTTTCTTCACATTTTCTTTATGTAAATGTTGTAGGTTAATTTTTGGCATGTGCATATAATCTGTATCCACGTGGTCTTGATGCACATTTTCTGTGCATTTTTGTAAGAATATCCATTTTCTCTTTACATTTTTACATGCACATATTTCTGTGCTGTTTTGTTTGCTTTTCTGTTTGTGCATTTTCTGGTTGCACATTTTTTTGCATTGACTCAATGTTTTTTTTTTTTGTTTAGTAAGTTTCTGTATTCATATTTTCTTAATGCATATATTATGGAACTACAAAACTTATCTTCATACACTTTTCTGTGTACAGTTTCTATATTTCCATTAATGTTATGCACATTTAGTCTCTCTGAACTATGAACAGAATCTGCATTTCTAACATCATTGCATGCTGCATACAAAACCACATGCAGCTCGAAAAGCCTTTGAAATGCACAAGCTGTACAGAATAAATAATGTGCATGTTTGTAGTTTATCAGTCTTTGTGACGGACTAGAGAGAATACTGTATTCTGAAGGGCTTTGCACGCTACTGTGTGTTAAACAGGATTACAACACGATCCGCCTCAATGGGAAAACAACACTGAGAATGTACTCGTGTGCATGGATGAATCATTTTTGCATCCACTTAACTTGGAGACAATTAGCATCTGTGAAATTCATTTAGAATCAATTTCAGTTTACACTGCAGTGCACTCAGCCTGACCTTCAGACAATCTAGTACATTTACAGTTTATATGCAATATATGTTAACTTCGTAAACATTGCTACAGTTATTTTAATAAGCACTTCTAAATCTACATCAACAGTCTAAAGTAATATTAACAGATTAATTTACCCTAGTTATTAATCATGCTGTAATATACACTTATAAATCATCGGCCACTTTATTAGGTACACCTTACTAGTACCATTACTGGACCCCTTTTGCCTTCAGAACAACCTTAATCCTTCATGGCATAGATTTAACAAGGGACTGGAAATATTCCTCAGAGATTTTGCTCCATACCTCGGTTGTAGCGAGTGCTTATTTGAGTTACTGTTGCCTTTCTTTTAGCTGGAACCAGTCTGGCCATTCTCCTCTGACCTCTGGCATCAGCAAGGCATTTGCGCCCACAGAACTGCCGCTCACTGGAGATTTCCTCTTTTTCAGACCATTCTCTGTAAACCCTAGAGATGGTTGTGCGTGAAAATCCCAGTAGATCAGCAGTTTCTGAAATACTCAGAGCAGCCCGTCTGGCAGCAACAACCAAAGCCACGTTCAAAGTCACTTAAATCCCCTTTCTTCCCCATTCTGATGCTCGCCGTGAGCTGCAGCAGATCGTCTTGACCATGTCTACATGCCGAAATGCATTGAGCTGCTGCCATGTGATTGGCTGATTACAAATTTGCCTTAACACGCAGTTGGACAGGTGTACCTAATAAAGTGGCCGGTGAGTGTACGGTAACTTTGTAAGTACAGTAAATGTACTATGCATTGTCAGATATTGTCATAAACGCTTATAAATCAACATTAAAAGTTTGAATTATTTTATTTGCTGATTGGATTCCTGATAATACTATTAAGATGTTTACTAACGCTAATAATGAGCCTTGTTGTAACCAAATAAACACTGACATTTTAATTGGAAAGACTGCATTCGCAAAATAAACATCGATTAGCATAATGCATTGTTGATCCATGAAATTTATTCAACCAATAGAAATAGAAATGTAGCTGATGGATAATGCTGAATACCTATGCAGGGGGAGTTGGGAGTATAATGTGCAGTTTAGAGCCCATCTGGCCACTGTCCCTTTCGTGCAGCTGCTGAGCGTCTGATTTCCTCCCACATGATTGGCCGGATGATAATCATGTGATATTGTGTTAACGAAGCTTGCGAAACATGAGGTCGTTCGTCTCTCTTAATTAGAGCCATTGTGCTGTTCATGCACATTAATCCAATCAAACTCATCAAAGAGGACGTCCTTTTATAAAAGCAAACAATAGCACCATAAACAGCATTAAATATACAGCGGTACACCTGGTGAAATCTGCTTTCTGGATCATCTGTTTGATTGCGGTTGATAATGAGTCTGAGTTCGGATAACAGCCGCAGTCCTCAGAGGATGTAACCCACTTTCAGACGTTTAATGTGTTTAGCTCATGCAAACACAAGCCCTGGTTGTGGATCATTTGACATGGGGATTGTGCTTGACCTAATCACACCAGCACAACAGGATGAGGCGGGGTTTAAAGAACTCAGCTGGCCTGTATGTGTTTATTCATTTGACTGGTATTGAAACTACATCGCAAAATAATATTGATTCAGGTTGCAATATGCAAAAAAGTTACCAATGACATTTACTTTAATAATCAGAAAATACTTTAATAGCGTCAGGTAATGTAAAAACGTATCAATGTAACATATTACAATATAAAGCGAAACAGTGTAACAATGTATCATTAAAAAGTGTAACGTCTTGTGATATAATGCAAGAGAATGTTACAGTTTAATGTCAGACGTCAAAGTTTAATGATACGTAAATAATATATATATTCATTTGTTTTATAAAGCTAGCCCTCTTTCACACACACACACACACACACACACACACACACACACACACACACACACACACACACAAGTGCGCGTACTTTGCATAATTACCATCAACATCTTTAAACAAGTGTCAAAAAATTATCCAGCAAGATTTAACTTTATGAAAATTGCAGAGGTCAAAAATGTATATTTAATTAAGTGAATTAAATCAATAAAATTTATGTATTTTTATAGCAAAATATTTTTTTTTTTAATTTAAAAAATTATATATATATATAATTATTGAATTATGTATTATTAGCTCACCTGTTTATTTTTTTCCCCAATTTCTGTTTAATGGAGAGAAGATTGTTTCAGCACATTTCTAATCATAATAGTTTTAAAAACCTATTTCTAATAACTGATTTATTTTATCTTTGTCATGATGGCAGTAAATAATATTTTACTTGATATTTTTCAAGACACTTCTATACAGTTTAAAGTGACATTTAAAGGCTTAACTAGATTAATTAGGTTGACTAGGCAGATTAGGGTAATTAGGCAAGTTATTGTATGATGATGGTTTGTTCTGTACAATATCGAACAAATAAAATAGCTTAATAGGGCTAATAATTTTGTCCCAAAAAAAGTTTAAAAAAATTTAAAACTGCTTTTATTCTAGCCAAAATAAAACAAATAAGACCTTCTCCAGACGAAAAAATTTTATCAGACATACTGTGAACATTTCTTTGCTCTGTTAAACATTATTTTGGAAATATTTAAAGAAGAAAAAAAAATCAAAAGGGGGCGAATAATTCTGACTTCAACTGTATATATATATATATATATATATATATATACAGTTGAAGTCAGAATTATTAGCCCCTTTTGATTTTTTTTCTTTAAAAAATACATATATATATATATATATATATATATTTTTTTTTTTTAAATGCTGAAAATTTGGACAAAACATGTGAAATCTCTCCACAAAATCACTCCATTTAATTACAAAAATCTGATTTTTTTTTCCCCAGAAATCCTGTAGGGACTGATATTGCATTGAATATGCTAAATGCAATTGTGTGTGTATTCTAGCCTGTTGCCATTGTGTGGACTGTTTTTTCCATGCATTTATTTGACTATGTGTATATGTGTGTGTTTTCTCTGCAGTGTGTGTGTATGCGCTAGAAGTGACGGTCAGTCAGAGCAGTGTCCAGGTGGCCAGAGGTCAGGCGGCCGTCTTGCCCTGTACTTTCAGCACCAGCGCCGCTCTCAATAATCTCTACATCATATGGATGGTCACACCGCTAGCCAACGCCAACCAGCCGGAGCAGGTGAGAAAACACAGCACCACACACACACTGACAGTGTATAAAACACACTCTTCATTGCCCTCACTGTAACGTCTGACTCTGCTCAGAATAAAGTCTCATCACTGAACAGAAATAATGTCCAGTCTAGAATATAAAGTCCTGCTGCAGTGGAGACAGAATGAATATTGTGTCTGACTCCATCATGAGCTTGGAGGACTGCATCCATACATCTCTGACATGACTCAAATCACTGATTAATAAAGTCATCTGGAATGAAGAAGAAAGCGTTCAGCAGGATCCCAGAGTTCATCAAGACTCTTTGTGTTCATCTTCAACACCTCCTCCATCTTACCCCAGACACACTCAATAATGTTCATGTCTGGTGACTGGGCTGGCCAATCCTGGGGCAGCTTGAGCTTCTCTGCTTTCAGGAGCTTTGATGTGGAGGCTGAAGTATGAGCAGGAGCGCTATCCTGCGGGAGAATTGTCCCTCTCCTGTGGTTTACCTCAGGCTGTTGATGTTGATCATCCACTCTGCAGATCTCTCGCACGCCCCCATACTGAATGAACCCCAAACCATGATGTCTCCTTCACCAAACTTGACTGATTTCTCTGAGAATCTTGGTCCATGCTGGTTCCAGTAGGTCTTCTGCAGTATTGGTGATGATTGGGATGCAGATCAACAGATGATTCAGCAGAGAAATCCACCTTCTGACACTTTAACACACGATCAGCTAGAAGTTTGTTGAAAAGCAATAATAATTAAAGAGAAAGCAGACCACATGCAGACACACTGAACAGAACACACATACATTCATGGGCAATTTTGTGGAGTGAAACAATATTCAGCGGGAGACAATTTGAGAAAGTGCTTGATTATGGCTATAAGGATTAACCTTCCCAATGCATTCTCAATCTGCTTGCAGCCTTTGCATTGACCAGGTCAGCTCAATGTAAGCTTCAAATATTAATACGTTTCAACGTAAACCATATTGCATCTGATGAATAACGTCTTAGGAGCATGTGAATGTGCAAAAACATGCATCTGATATTATATACATTTGCATTTGTACATTAATAGATTAAATCTAGTGGGATTTAGGAATAAACAGCATCATTTTAATAATCACTAATTCAATATTTGTCTGAATTGATGAAATGATGATAGTTATTGGAACATATAAAATGAGAATTGACAATATTAACTACTTAATTTGGTTTAATTAAATTCATTTGTGTTTATAGTAATTTTATCATCAAAGCAACATTGATATTATTCTGGAAAACAATACACTCCACTTCCATATGGAATTGAGGATACATTTATTTTACAAAGTTTTTACTACAAAAAGGGGAAAAAACATGAAATGGCAATATTTAAAATCGACCTTCAATGAAACATTAATTTTAATTTAATTTAATTTAATTTAATTTAACAATTATAAAAAATAATAAAAAAATAATAAAAACAAATTAAGTAAAAAAAATTACATTAAAAGAAATTCTAATAAAAAAATGTAAAATAATAAAATTAAAAAATTATAATAAAAAATGTAATAAAAAATTAATTAAAAAAACAATAAAAAATGAAAAAAATAAAATAAAATATATAATAAATAAAAAATTAAAAAATAATATATTTGAATATAAAAATTAAAATAAAATGTATATGTAATATATTTTTAAAATAAAATAGTTGAAAATGTAAAAAAATATTTAATAAAAATATTATAATTGTGTAGGAGTGCGTGCGTGCGTGCGTGCGTGTGTGTGTGTGTGAATTTTTGTTTCCAATTTCTGCAATGAAAGCACTGCACATCAAGAAGTTCGCTGGTTTGAGTCCCGGCTGGGTCAGTTCGTGTTTCTGTGTGGAGTTTGCATGTTCTCCCTCCGTTTGCGTGGGTTTCCTCCTGGTGCTCCGGTTTCCCCCACAGTCCAAACACATGCGCTATAGGGGAATTGATGTACTAAATTGGCTGTAGTGTATGAGTGTTGAGTACTGGGTTTCAGCTGGAAAAGCATCCACTGTGTAAAGCATATGCTGTAATAGTTGGCGGTTCATTCCACCGATAAATAAAAGGATTAAGCTGAAGGAAAATGAATAAATGAATCCATGGTAAGGCTAAATGTATAATTGTGACAAAGTGGAGCTTTGTCCCTCCTGAGTGAACAGCACACAGCACACACACATACACGCGCACACACACACACACACACACACACACACTTCCACCGTCATTGCTACTCACTTGTTGTCCTGCTATTGGCAACGTGGGGACACACACAGATCCGGTAGCTCATAGACATTCTCTCATAACGCATTTCCACAGTATAACTCCATTCCTGGTCTTCATACACATCTACATGCATTGTTTTGTCCTGTTTGTAGTCCATGTCGACCTTGGTCCCGCATTTATTTTAAAGGAGCTCTACCCTTCACTAAGATGGCAGCTCTAATGACGCACTCCTTCCAATAGACAACAACAGGCTAGGCGACATCTAATGTAAATATCTATGGGCCATCCTGAGAAGGCGGGAAGGGTGAAACCATTGTGGTGCGTCTGACCGGGCAATGTGTTTAATGATTTGGTTTAATGATATTTTTTGGTTTAAATTGGTTTAAATGATAATTATGTGTTAAGTGTTCATGTGTATAAATGAAAATACATTCACTAGATACTTACTTAAAGAGGGGTAGGTCCCAAAAAAGGTGGAAGTTTGACCTTTAAAAGCAGAGGCCAAACCCCAAGACAGTCAGCGAGAGTGTTACAGTGGTACTCGAGCAAACCCCCTTGTATGTATATTGTGGATACTTGTTTAAGTTTATATAAACGGTTGAAATTATTAGTCCCCCTTTGAATTTTTGTTTTATTTTTTAAATATTTCCTAAATGACCAATGACTCTGCTGCTATTTTGGGATTTCCGCCTGGATTTTGCCTACCCAAATGTAAAAGCTTCCCAAATCCACATGCAGAGGTGTAAATGCAAAAATTTGGTCTCATTTTAAAGAAAACCCTTTGAATTTTCATAAAACATTATTGAAAGTGTTTAAAATATCTGTGTATGTTGTCTGTGTTATAATCAACACCTAAAAAAAGAGGCGCTTTTTGTATTTTTTTTATAAACTTAAATGTGAAAGTGTACCTTTTAGGTTGTGTGTGGTCTAGCATGCTGTAATTAATTTTGGTGGTTCCTGCACATGTCTGTAATCATAGGAAAAAAGAAAAATGTCTCCACCATAATCTATGCAAAAGTTATTGTATTCCAACTGATGAGAGGTGCTGTACAAGCCACAGGGAGCGATCATTGTGTTCATATTTCACTATTCTTTTGTTTGATCAAACATAATTCACTGTGTTTGGAGCACATCAGACATATAAAAGGATTACATATGCACATCAGCTCAATAACAGAGGAGAATGACCCTGAAGCGCACAGCATAAGGTGAGAGATGACAGCTGTCTGTGCTATCTGGGGCTGCTTATTGATCATTAATGTATTGTTTTCACTTCTTCGCCATGGTAACACCGCGATACATTCGACAACTGTTTGATATGTGAATATAATTCAGTAAAAATAATGCTAGAACCGTATGAGCACCGGCAAGAGCTTTCATTTGAGCTATAACTTGTACATGTGTCATATACAAAATATGAAAGTGAACCAATGTTCTATACCCAGCTCGAGTCTCCAAAATACTGTGTATTTAAGTGTAAATAACTTTTGTACAGTAGAATAAAAACCAAAGTGATGCATATGTGCATAAAATACAGATTCTACACTTTCAAACAAAACCACTTAAGGGAGTGTGGTGCAATGCTGGCCCTTTAAATCTTGCAGTGAAAGTCGATGACGTCACGTAACGGTTCCGAGTTTAACTGGTTGAACAGATTCAGGAAATGTTCACAGTATAACTGATAATATTTGTTCTTCTGGAGAAAGTCTCATTCATTTTATTTCGGCCTGAATAAAAGCAGTTTTTAATTTTTTGCACAGAGTTATAAGTGTGATGTTAACATCATTTTAAGGTCAATATTATTAGCCCCCTTAAGCTTTATTTTTTTGTTAGTCTACAGAACAAACCATCATTATACAATGACTTGCCAATTACCCTAACCTGTCTAGTTACCCTAATTACCCTAGTGAAGCCTTTAAATGTCACTGTAAGCTGTATAGAAGTGTCTTGAAAAATATCTATTTTGGTTTTTGGACACTTGTATATGTATTCTTCACTGTGCACTGTTTTTCACCTGCCAGCACAGTCAAACCCAGTTTTCCTCACCAAATCGAGTGGAGGCCCGCTCTCTCACAATAATGAAGAGTAAAGTTATTAATTAGCATTATTTTTAAAACATAAACCCTGTCAACACATTCATTTGCATGCAAGTAAATCAGAAATCTCCCATCATGCATCTGTTCTCATGTCAGTGCAACCATTATGCAACATCTGAGTGGTACAGTACGACTTTACAGAACTAGATTGCTCCAATCATAATCATAATTCTGCTCAAATTAGACGCCTTCATTGATTTTATTTTTACAGCTCGTGGCATTGATGAAGACACACTGTGCTTTTCACATTTCATGGATTCTACTTTTAGTACATTCATTTTTCTGCATCTCAGGGCTCTCTGAAGACAGCATGTGACTGTGGGCTTCCTGTAGAGTTTTTGCACCTTCCCTGTGTTCATTAACAGACTGAAAAAAGCTGAAAAGAAGGGCAGAAATCAGCAGCGCTGAGCCAATGATTTATTTAAACACGACCGTTATTTGACTTTGTGCACGGATCGGTGGCCTGCAAACACACACACACACACACACACACACAACAAAAACAATCTTCACACACATCCACATGTTTACTGCTGCAGTCTGTTTGCACAAATGCCAAGTAAACAAATAAGATCAAGAGAAATGACAAATCCGGGTCACGGCACCAGAAAATGGCTGTAATTATCTTCACAGGCTGCTCTAATGATTGTTAATTTACGCCTGCTGTATGTGATTATAATCAAGCAGC